TCATTGGTTCATACAACATGGAGGTTGTCAAAGTCTAAGAATTACCAATTAAATGGGCAAGTTAGAAACCCCTAAGAGCTTTCGGTATGGTTCTAGTCTGGTAGCCAACAGGATCTAAATCCAGGAGAGATGATGGTTCAATTGTTAAGAGCACTGGTTATTCTTCTAGAGGACCTGAGTTTGATTCCCAGGACCCAGATGGCAGCTCATAACCATCAATAACTCCAGTTCCAGGAAGATCTGATGGCCTCTTCTGGCTTCTGAGGGCAGCAGACATGCAAGTGGTACACAAACCTACATATAGGTCAAACACCCACACACATAAAATGAAATTAAATTATTAAAAAAGAAAAATAAAACATCTATTCAGAAGACATGTGGAAGTTCATACCTTGTGTTGCTGATGGATGTAAATGGCAAGGAGGCTTCTTTTTCAAGGTATTGATGACTGCAGACTCACAGCTGAGAATGAGAGACATAGGATGTTTCTGTGACACTCTCTTCCCCCCAAGAAACAGTCTAGACAGGCAGTCCTCGAAGAGAACTCTTAAGAACTATGATGGGATGCTAAAGAACAACTAACCACAACTGATGACTTTTGGTGGGGGTGGGGACAGATTCAGTTTTCCTTAAGGGGCTGGCCACCAGGAGTTCAACCATGCTCCAGGAATATATGGGCAATACAAATTTGACTTGGCATTTTTTTATTTCTTCTTCCTTTTGTTTTGGGGAAGGCCACAAGAGCAGGAGGGTGGACCTGGGGGGCCTGAGAAGTGAATGTGATTAGAATGCATGATGTGAAATTTCCAAATAATCAATAAAAATATTGTTTAAAAAGTTAGGATGAGAGAGTATTTCAGTTTTACTAGAGGCAAGAGAAAGCTTGTGCTCTGGTTCAAAGGTTACCAGGTGGGAAGACTCCTCTGCTTCCTGGGAGAGTCAGATTTCTTGCTCCATTCATGCGTGAAGCAATCTGCCTTATTTGATCTGTAGGTCTAAATGGCTATTTTACCCAAAACCACCCTCACAGAAACTCCCAGGGTAATGTCTGACCAAAATCAGGGCAGCCTACAGGCTATCGAATTGATATCTGAAATTAGTCATTACCCAGGAGCACAGCATATTCCATTTCCAGACAACAGCTCTTCCCTCCCACCCTCCCTCCTCCCTTCTTTCCTTTCTTACTTCCTTCTTTCTTTTTATTTTTCTATTAGAAATACTACTGTAACAAATCTTCAGCCATACACATTGAGACATGTTTATATATATTTCTGTAGGTTGTATTCCTAGAATGGAAATTGCTGGGTTCAGTAAGCAGAATAGTAACCTTTCCCGCCAAGGTGCCTATGTCCCAAGCTCTGGGACAGTCCAGTATGCTAGATTTCATGACAAAGGAGGCTGTGAAGCGACCAGCCCCCCATTTTAGCAGCCATGACAGGCTAACATGTGCTTGCATGACCTTGCCTGTCCTGATCTCTAGGAAGTTGGATGCCCTCCTCGTGGCAAGTAACCAATCAGAAGTTAGCTGGTGGGGCTGTGCTTTATGGACAAGTGCACAGCAGTGACGTGCAGAGCATAGCAACCACCCTGGGAGGGCCTATGGGCCATAGCAACCAGTTGACCAAACAACACAGGGCAGGTTGTCCAAACATGGAAGCACACCAATCCTGAGACTGTTTCATACCCCTAGACACTCCCCATGCTGCCCTTCAAGATCCCTGCCTCACAGTTTCTCGGGGTCTTTCTCCAGCTATCCATCACCCATGAATGGATGAAAGGCTTGAGCTAATAGGGTTAGCTCAATAAACAACTACAATAAAAGACTCTATGCTTTTGCATTGAAATGGGCCTCTTGGTGATTTTGGGGTTCAGAATTTGGGCACTACTGATATTGGAAAAGGAATTAAGTTTCCTCTTTGTCTAACAACAGGGAGATCATCTGACTTATTTGGGTGGTCACACTGTACTCAAAGTGATCCTCTGTAGAGTTGAGGAGACTCAAAAGCTTAGAGTGGTGGCACTGGGGGATGGGCATGGCTTGATGTGGCTGACTTTGAAGATGGGAGGAGGCAATGAGCCCAGGCCCTCGGCAGCCTGCAGATGCTAGAGGGTCCATGGGAGCATAGCCTTGCTATAGGGACCCTAGGAAGGAGCATGCCATCCAGCACATTGACTGTAGTGCGGTGAAACTTGTTTCACTCTTCTCAACTATAGACTGTGACACAATAGATAGCCATGTTGTTTTAAGCCACTGAATTAGTAGTATCTTAGAATGCAATTCAGAACACAAACATGTGGGTCCTAGGAAATATACATACACTATCATCAGTATTGAATTTTATTAGCCTCCATACTTTTTAGTAATTTTATTGAATGAAAAAATACTATTTCTGTTTCGGGAACTGAAGTTGCTATTAATGCTTTCTTGTAAATTGATGAACTGGATGATCTTGTTTTGATACAAGGCTGCAATCTTTCTTATTGACTCATGAATAATTACCTTTATAACTTCTATTAAAAGTCATTACTTATAACTTTTGAGAATTGCAAATATTTCCTCCCAACCCCTCATCTCCTTGTTAACTCTTCCTACATAGACTGAAGTTTTTCATACCCAGGGAACAGTAATGTCTAAGTCAAAGACACCACATATGCCTGCCCGACCCAAGTGATAAATAAGATAAATAAGTGTGGGTTTAAGTCGGGTACACTTTTGAGAATTCATTTCCTTACTAATTATTGTGTTCATTAAAAATAATGTACTCTGAGCCTACTCTGCACCGTGCCTGCATGTGGGAGAGATAAAAACGAACACAGCGTTCAGTGAAAAGGAAGCTTAGTGGTGGTTGTGGGGACAAGGCCACAGAGCGGGTACAACAACCACAAGAGAATAGCAGATCTGTGATAGACGCTTGGGTGGTACCCATGGCATCCAACATTTAACCAGCCAGGCTTAGTAGAGACAGTCCAGGAGACAGGAGCATGGGACAGGCCTGGAGATGCAGATAGGGAATACTGGGACAGGAGTGAGACAGGAGGGCAGGGCCCGTTGAAGCCTGTGTAATTCAGCCTTGTCTTTCTCCTGAATGTACTGCACACTGTTTGAAGTTGGAGGAAGAGGAAGGTGGGGCGTGAGCTAGCCTTTAACAGAGCCCATGCCATCTCTTCTGCTGAGAAGAGACTGCAGCGGGCACCATCAGAGACCAGTGCCAAGGTGCTATACTGGCCTAGGAAGGAGGCAGGGGCATGAAAATAAGGCATATCAGACAGATGAATACACTGGACAGACAAGAGATTCATGCCTGCATGTCTCCCTGTTTGTACGTCTTGTGTATAAGCAATTTCTACATAGAGGCACTTCGTAACTCAAAATCATCTACTATGCACAAGTCTTTGCAGAAAGATGTAAAAATCACTGTGTTTGACATATAGATCCATGGTAGATGCATATCACATTTTATGTTTTATATTTAACGTTCTTTCTGTAGATGGGCTCCAACTTACAACCTGGTGTGATGATTTAAGAGTTTTGGTGGTGCAAGTGTTATATGCATTCTGCACAAACCATCTCAAGGTTTTGCATTTGCATCATTTTCCAAGCAAAGGACATGATGCTGGGAAGTAGCAGTCAGCCACACAATCGTAGCACAGAACCAATGTGCTCTGCCGTGTTGTGCCGTCAAGCTATGAAGTGCAGCAGGCACTACATGCACTTTGTACTTAGGATATTTCACCTTACAATGCTTTTATCAGGACCTCCCCATCAGAGGCTGAGAAGCATCTATGACTGAATATATAATCTAAGCATCGGCTGGCCCATCCTCTATTTCCTCCTGTCCACCTTGTGCAGGTTATCACACGTATGTATGGAAAGAAGGCGGGGTTATCTTAACTCCCTTCTCAATCTGCAGCTGGTCATCCCAAAGCTCCTCATCACTTGAAAATCTTGGACCCCTGACTAAGTTCATCTTTGCCACCAAGGAACCATAAAGGTGTGGCTGAGGGAGAAGAAAACACTCTCTATCTCTATCGTACCTTTGTTCTATATAATGGCACTTCTCCCTCAGGGTTATGGGGACAGCACTTTATTGAAGCCCTGAACTGTTACAATGGTTACATGAAGGTGCTTGAATTACGAATTAAGTAGGGTTTCACCCTGTTCTGACCAGCAAGTACTTCCCCTGCACTGCCCTCACCACGGTTCAGCTTGCTTCCTGCTCCTGAGTCAGTGAGCACCTAAGGGAGAAGGCAGGTACTTCGTCTGTGGTGAAACTTTCATGTCGCGGTATTATTTTCTCAGCTTCACACAGGTGTCAAAAAAAAACAAACATTAAATGGCACCTTCCAAACCTTCTGTCCGTCGGTCGAACATCAGCTGCTACTGGGTACATTAAGTAGAGCCCACTGCTCACCCCAGGCTACTGGGTCCACCCCACTACGTGAGGAGGGACCACGGGACTAAAAGGAAGACGGCAGATACCGGCTAAAGTGACCTGATAGGGCTTTTGCTAAGGTCGGGCAATGCAAGCCGACACAGACGTCACAAACTAAAGTCTGCTCTTGAAGAGGATCCCCAGGAACTGAGTTTGGTAGGGGCAAGAGTGCGAGTACTATTAAGCCTCTCTGGTGTGAGGCAAGGCCAGAAGAATCCAAGTGAAGCAAATGGCATGAAGCTACATTTGTTCTGGGGGGTGAAGTATAGCTGGGGTGTGGAGAAGCATTCATTAAACCCTGAATGAACCTCCAAGTTTGTCTGACAGACGCTGGTGGTGTCTACACTGGTGACCTAATTGGGAAGACCGCCTGGTATCCAGGACCTTCCTTGGAGATACTGGTGTTCAGCCTCCCCTAGTTTGGCATTGTGAAGCATGAGTTCCTGCTCTCAGTTTCCAGGTCTGAGAATCCGGAAGGACTGGCAGAACGTAGGTGGGCTGGGTCACGGAAGCCCGACCCTTTCCCTGAGCGCCTGCGCAGTAGCTGGTGTAACAGACAGGAGCTCAGCTGGGCACAGAGGGGCTATTTGTAGTTTGATAGTCTCTGCTGAATTATTGATGCCTCAGGACCTCCCCCTTGTTAACAAATCGCCCTCTGCATGAAAATTTAAAGAGGCAAATGAGGGCAATCTCTCAACCCATTATTCCTTCTTCTTTTGCCATCTGAGCTCTAATTTTAAGTCAATCGGCCCAGAAGTACTCTCTTGGGAGATGGCACAGCTCAGACACCCCGACCCTGGGCCAGCAAAATCCGTGTGTGAGAGCAGCATCTGAGTTCTGAACCGTCCACGGAGTTATGGTGCCTCTGACCAGGTGATCACTGGCCACCTCAGTGTCACTGAACCAGGAAGTACCGCATCTCAAATACAGAAGAAGATGAAAAGTTTCAGAACGTAGCCTAGGTTTGGCATTTGGATGCCTGGGATGGCCTAGGAAATAGTGGTGAGTTTTTCGTGATGATAATTTCTAAAACTCCAAAAAGCACAAGGTTGGGGCTAGAGAAATGGCTCAGTGACTAAGACCGTGATCACCCCAGTTCTGAGCCCAGCACCCATATAAATCCTAGGCATGCTTCCACCCGTGTATTACCCTAGTCTTGTGAGTGATAGAGACAGCAGAATCTGTGAACTCTAGGTTCAGTAAGGAACACTGACTCGAATGAATAATATGGAGAGTGATGGAACGGGATACTTGACCTCTTCCTCCAGCCTCCATAAGGGCCAAGGCACTCATACCTGTGTGTATCCATATGTGTGCTACACTTATACCATGCACACACACATGCACACACCCCTCTGTATAGTCTTTTCTTAAAACATTATTTCTATGTTGTGTGTATGTTTTACCTGCATGTATGTCTGTGTACCACATGTATGCAGTGCTCTTGGGGGAACAGAAAAGACTACTGAATCCCCTGGACTTGGAATTACAGATGGCTGTGAATCTCCATGTGGATGCTGGGAATTTCAATTTTATCCTGTAACAATAAGGAAGCATTTCAAAAAATTGGCTGTGCAGAGTGTCTAGAATCGGATAGGGTTTGTAATAAAGGTCGATTGACATACAATGTTTGAACATGCATTGTTAATGTTAATTGGTACTCAGTTCTAGCTTTTGCTACTTTTACAATACTGTGGTACCCTTACCTTGTTCTTCCCCATTCAATAGGTCAGGCATTTCTATATCTATAGGACAGCTGGGTAGACTGAGGCAAGGGTCAGGGATGGGACAATCACTTTATCATCTCATCCCCTGACTACTAGCAAGCTGTTGTCTTACATAAAAAGAAGGCAAACAGGCTTGTGGACAATTCTGCTGATACATGTATTCTAGTCTAATGCTTCCATTTATAAAGCAATTTAGCTGGTGCTGTCTTCTTAGAAGTAGTCAAAACCCAATTAACCTCACTATCTGCTTTCCTATTTACCTTCCATATGCATTAGGCTCTGGCATCATTTCTAATTTACACTCTTCAGTTCATAATATCAGTAGTCACCAGCCCCTTTAGACCCTTCATTAACCCGGTTGTCCTCTGAACCCTGTCATAGTGGGCCTGGTAGTTATTCTTACTTAAGACAGTCAAAGGTTACCTTACATATGGATCCTATTGATTTGAAAAGTATCTGTGGTGTGCAAAGCTAAATTCTAACAATTGTGATATGTGCAGTTTGGTATCATTCATTTTGGACAGTGGATGCTATGATGGCTTCTTGTCATCTTTTTAGACATTAAAGGAATTTTTACCAAACTAGAAGAGAACTCTAGATCATATGCCATGAGTAATGGAGAACTCTAAAGGAATCCCACCAACAGTGTTGGATGTTAGCTGGCATGCACACATGTATGTATGCACACACACACACACATACATGCACAAATACACACACTCCTCCCCTTTAGGAGATGCTGGTTTGAGACAAAAGCTGGAGCCCTGGTTCTGACTCTGCTCCCCACATATACACTGGAGCTCTCTGGTATTGAGGGAAGCCAAGTTGGTTGCTCAGAATGTGGGAGTGGCAAGCTCTGAGGAACTGTCTTGCTTTAGAAGCACCATGAATATCTAACAGCCTTCATCTCCTCCATTCCTTGCTGATGTCAGTTCCCTCTTTGGAAAGCAAGCTATGGCACAGCCCCACTGTGTAGGCATCTGGGTTTGGCTCTTGATTTATTGGTGCTGTGGTTTGAACACAGTACCTTGAGCATTAAATGCTCTCCCAGCAAGCTACAACCCTAGATCTTACTTATTTTGCTGGTTTTTCTCCTCAATATATGTTTTTATTTAAATTAGAAACATGAATGCTTCCCATGTCAATCCCAGCTCCCTCTTCCACCCCTCCTACCTTGTCCCTCCACCAGCCCCTCATCCAATCCCCATATCATTCCCCAGGAAGGGTGAGGCCCTTCTTGGGGGGAGTTTCCAGAGTCTGTCATTTCATCCAGGGCAGGACCTAGGCTCTTCCCCAAGTGTCCAGGCTGAGAGAGCATCCCTCCATGTGGAATGGGCTCCCAAAGATCATTCATATTCCATGGTAAACACTGATCTACTACCAGAGGTCCCAGAGATTTCTGAGGCCTCCTCACTGACACTACACTTATTTTGTTTTTTATTGGTTTTATTGAGGTTTTGGATTTTGTTTCACTTTTTTTTGTGAAGATTTTTTTTAGAACTTGGGTTTTTTTTCTTTTTGTAACCACTTTTAAGGTTACTTTTTTGAGTTACATACATCATAAGTTTTATTATGGCATTTCCATAGCTGTGTGTCATTACACTCTGTTCTCACCCCCCTCCCGTTGCTGTTTTTAAGATGAGGTCTGGTGGGGCTCATGTTGGCTTCAAACTCACTCACTAGCAAGGCTTCCTTGAATGGCTGATACCTCCCACAACCTTCCAAGCACTGGGATTCTATCTTTTTTTTCTTTAAAGACATCTACTGGGTCAAATTCAGAGCAGGCCAGAAGTCACAGGTCAGTGGGCATTTCTGAAGGGCTGTTTTGGTTGGAAGCTATGAAACAAGGTTAATTATTCTGGTTTGCAGAGAAACTCAGCTAAAACTTTCACTTCACCTGGTGACACCAAGTCTCCACATTGCCTCTCTCATTCTGCTTCACTTGGGACTGCTTCTGGGTTTAATGCTTCCCTTGTGTTACTTTTTCTTAAAATCCAAGGTTCCCATTAATTTTTTCTCAGAATCAGAGCATGGCAAAGTGGGGTCCCTCAACTTCATTCAGCATGCTCCCCAGAATCCAGCAAGCTCCCCCACATCTCTATTTCCTTTCTATGAAGAAAGCCTGTCTGGGAGGAAAGACCTCCAACCAACTCACCTTCCCACTTAGGCCACTCTTGACATCTTTTCCAAGACTGGGATTTCCTAGGAGGTCACCCAGGCAGCCGGGTCACACAGGGGACACACTACAGCATACAGAGCTTGATCTCCCCTGCCCCACTCACAGAAAGAAAACTTAAAACCCCATTCCTAGAATTCACCAGACATCTTGGGGTTTATCTAGGGATCTCACATGAGACCTAGGTTCTCCGACTCTGTAGCTTTTGAAGTTGGAGTCCAGGACACTGCCTTGGGTTTGATGGGGGATGGAGTGTCAGGGTTTGCGTTAGGTCTTGCTCTTGGGAAATGGCAGAGCCAGGACTGAAGGCAGGCCTTCCACTCTCAGGCCTGTCTCCCCATGTTGCCATCCTGGGGTGTGTTAACTGCAGTCACCACACATGCTGTACAAGGGCAAGATCTTCCATGTGCCTCCTCCTCTTCTCCCTCCACCACTGGCTCCCTTAGCAACCTCAGTTTAGACTAAGACACCCAGAAATCCTCCCACACCTTCACATGGTTCTTCCTTTCAATGCCTTTGTTTTCAAGTGGCTTCAGTTGCCCAAAATCAACCACATCCTGAAGATATTAAATATTAAATAAATCATTAACTTTATTAGAAGAAATAAAAACGCGTTAGTTTTAAATAGTATTGCATTTAATACCATAGCTTATTTGTAGTGAAATCTTGTTCCACTCTGATTCATCCCACTCAAGACACCAATCATCTTTGTTCAGTGTATCCACACTGTATTCACTATTCTTCTATTAGTTACTTAGTAGCTGGCTTGGTTATAAGATCAACTGTCAAGGTATCACAGTGCCTACATTCAAGTAATCCTTATGTAGCAGCCTAATGCTGTTATGATGGCTACTCACCTGTCTCATCTCTTTCCCTAGGCTCCATGCCATTTCATATCATTACACAAAGATAGCATACAATAAGCTCCAGAAACAGGGAGCATAGTCACACAACTCAGAGTGTAGCAGAACTACTCTGTTTTATTGTTTTTCATCTTTATTGCGTCTAATTTATAAATTGAGCCTTGTCATAGACATATATGCTCAGAATAAAAGCATGGTATAAATAACTTCAGTACTATTCACAGTTTATGCAACCAGTAGTTGAGGATTTGATCCATAATCCCAGAGAATAGGGGACCACTATACTTCTATACTTCTCTTTACTGTAGACTTTTACAAAACAATTGTTTTAAAGTTCTGTATATTTTACTGCCTCCCCTGATGAAGGCTGAAGAAAGGATCTCTCTCTCTCTCTCTCTCTCTCTCTCTCTCTCTCTCTCTCTCTCTCTCTCTCTCTCTCTCTCTCTCATATATTCAGGGAAGACACTGTAACATTTGACTTCTCTTCCCCTCAATTGTTTCATGCCTGTAACTTACCTGAATGAACCACTCTCTTTAGTTACATGAGTTGCTAAAGCTGCCTTGCAGGTAACAGTGTAGAGAAAACAGACTTCAAGGTCTCAGGGGGATGTTAGAATGAACTTAACCTGTGGCTTCACCCTAAGTGCCACCTCACTGTCTCACCTGTGTGCTGAGAAGCGAGGTGTCTCTGGCATCCTTAGACTTAGGCTCCTTCAGACATCGCTGACTTCCTCTCCTTGTTAATGGCCCCTGGAAGCCTTCCATTACAGATAACGGAACAGAGATACTCAGAGTGGCTTGTTCAGAGTCAGTGAGTGCATTGGAGTCAGAGAGATTTGTACAGAGCACTGCTTATGGTGGGGTCTACCCTGTAACCAGCAGCCAGAGCCAGCAAGCCCTTCCTGATGGCATGTTTCTCTTTGGCTCACTCAACAGCTCTTAACCCATGTTTGCTTTTTAATTACCTGCCATGTAATCTACTCCTGCAGACTTACTCTCATGATTGCCAGCACTTAGCAGCTTTTCTCACAGATTTCCTAGAAAACGCATATGTCCTGTTTCTTGGCAGGGGTCACAGGTGAGAGAGTTCTATTGGGTTGAGCTACATTGTATACCATCAATAGGTTTTAATATCAGTGAATGTGTTACTGTGTGTCACTGAGATCACAGGCTGCAGGGGATAAAGTACGTTTTGTGTGTGTGTGTGTGTGTGTTCATGTTCATGTGTGCCAGCGC